TCACTCTTACTCTCACTCTCACACCCACACTCACTCACTCTCCCACTCTCACTTTCACTCACTCTCCGACTCTCACTCTCACTCACACTCACTCACACTCACTCTCAGTCTCACTCTCACCCACCCACCTTCAGTCTCACTCACACTCGCTCTCACTCTCACTCTCACCCAAACTCACTCTCACGCACATTCACTCTCACTCACACTCGCACTCACTCAGTCTCCCACTCTCACTCACACTTACACTCCTCACACTCTCACTCTCACGCATGCTTACTCTCACCCACACTCACTCTCACTCACACTCGCACTCACCCACACTCACTCTCCCACTCTCACCACTCTCACTCTCACACTCACGCTCACTCTCCCACTCTCACTCTCACTCACTCTCCCGCTCTCACTCTCACTCACTCTCCCACTCTCATTCTCACTCACACTCATCCACACTCACTCACACCCACCTTCACTTCATCACCACCGTCACCTCTCTGGACCCCAATGCGTCTGGATCTCTAAGACTTTCTGCTTACGGACCTCACACACACTGTTTGGGGTCTCTTGCCGGGATAATTTGCCTGTACCATGACATGTTCACAATTCTTCGCGCATTCCCTACAGGTCAATGACCCGATTTTCCTGGACGTGGTCATTCAAAACAAACTACTGAATGAGGTAAAAGACCAGTGACCAGGTTTTACTGGATTGCTTCAATTCATACGACTGCCATGAAATCGATCATGTTCCTCATGTTCCATCGATCCATCGGTATATACTACGGGTCTTCACACATCCCATACGACCTGGTCGAGGTCCTGACAGCCGGTCCGACTCTTCGGCTCTCGGGTCCGCCCCGGTCAGGTTCGCTGTCTTGAGCCTTTGCTGGCTCCATGCGCAAGGCGGACCGAGACCGTGGACCGAGACCACCGGGTCGGTGGAGGGGACGGGTCGGGTGGTGGTCGCCATTCTGCGATCCGTGTTGTTCCCGCGTTTTGGTTCGGTCTCGAAGTGGGTGCACCGAAGAAGTGGCGGTGCCCTTCGTTTCGGAACGGCCTACCTTCGTTTCGGTGGTTAGATGTGGTTGGGGTGGGTGCGTTTTCGGGTGTCCAACTACATAATCAACTACATTATGTGGATGTGATTGGAGCTCTAGCGGTGAAATGGTATTGCAACCTGTATGCCGGTGTTCTGAAAGCTAATTATGATGCTATGAAACATCTCTTTTTGGAGATCTTTTATGGAGAATGATCCGATTCAGAAAGATAATGTCCACCCTTGAAAAGAAACCATGAATGTTCTAGCTTACCATGCGTGATCTATATGTTTCAACCTATCATGAAAACCGATCGACGACGGTGGTACTTACTATAGCTAAGCGTACTGACAGCGCCCATGGTGGCCACGGGCCATCGCCGCGAGTCGCGTGACTCGTCGCAGCGCCAGGCTTGAACGTGCTCAACAACAGCGCCAGGCGCATCGGAGCGGTGAAAGCAGGCACTCTCCGGTTTGCTGATAAGTCCTGGAATTATCATGCCAAAAAAACATACCGGAATTGAATTCATTCCCATGGCGCTTTTGGAACGCCACGGATGTTCGTAAGACCATTCAAATCTTCAATAACCAAGAAGGGCTCACAGAGGGCGGGGTGTTATTCGGGAGTCTACGAAGCATTCTTTTCGCACTGGCATCAGGAGTTGGTTCGGATATGTTCGGATTGTTATGAAGGAATTGCTTCAGATGGTTCTGAAGGTCACGTGGTGTCGCCTTTTACACATCTCTGGTTGAAAAATCTGTCCTGTAGACTATCCCTAGGGCTCCAGTCGTACCTCCTCAGGTTCGGTATGACTGGACCCGGAGATGGCACCCACCTCAGTCCTACCTTCGAAACGAAGGTACGACTGGATCCCTACCCATAGACTCCATGTATGGAATATATGCCCACTGACCCCCCAAACCACTCCAATGTAGGCTTTTGTGGCATACATGGAGTGTTTGGGCTAGGGTATATAGTGCGCTTCTTGTTTCGCGTTTTTCTGTCACGTTCTTCGGATCCAGGTCTTTGGATCCCCCAAGCCCTCCAAGCCCTGTGTAGCTCAAGACATGGGAGACGTTCGACACCCGTGAGCAACGCCCTGCAAGGTGAAGACGAACTAGGTCAGTCTACTCCATTGGGCCAGGGTGCGCACCCTCCAAGCCTAGTGTCTTCAATCACCCTCTCAATCCGGTTGTCGATTTAGTCGAATGCCAAGAGCGCCCTGTTCAGCCCTGGAACCTCGCAGCGAACGGATGGTTCAGCGAAGAAGGAGGTTGTGAGGGTCGGTGGCTTGCGAGTCGCACCGAGAGCCTTAGCCTTTTGAGAAAAGGAGGAGCCTTTGGAGGTCTGCCCCGGCATGCTGCGGAACCCGCCGCTCATCCCACCGTCCTTGGTGCATCAGCCGCTGCAGAACCCGAACGGCCAGGAATGACACTGCCACGGAGAATTTTACGCCTGGCTGCCCAGGAAGGTCGTGGATCGCTGAAACTGGTGGCAACTTCGTTGATCTACCTGGAATGGACCAAGGCTCCAGGTATTGACACATCCCCATGTTTGGGTTGGCCAAAAGGGGCAGGAGTTCTGACTGGGGTGTGTGATGATGTCCTTCTACTGGGCTGTTTGCGCACTATCGACGCCTCAGCCAAGGGGTGCTGACCTTCACTATAGGGTCAAAGGACTAGTTCTGTTGGTGCAAGAAACAAGTGAATCTCCAGCATTGTCTGGTGGTCCAGGAGAAGGCTGCCATGATCATCATAAGTTCAAGCAAAGGTCCCATGGAGCAAAACCATCCAGCTGGTCAACATGCCCCTGGGTTGTACTGTTCAGTGATGTAGAAGGGCGCATCGATTGATCTTCATGATAGTAGGGCAACAAAACCGGAGTTTACTCAGCGTATGTGGGGTTGGGCTACGAAACATGTACAGTTAATTGCTCGTATACACCACCTTTCATTCCTGCTTCCTGCTCGGAGCTTAGAGCCACCAAACTTATTTTGGTCTCCACTAGATCACTAGATCAAAGCGAAAGACTTTGAGTACCATCCTAGAGTCTTAGATGTCAAGCACTTGGCCACCCTCCCTGTACGGGGGAGCCCAACCTTTGACGCACTCTCTCACCAAAAAGAACGATTCCAGGTTGGCATCAATCATGAACCACATTTTGAAGGCCCTTTCACACCAAAGAAACCAGTGAAGGCCAGAATGCTTTACATACATCCACCCTGCGTCTCCTTTGCCTGCTTTCCACATACCGCGCCTTCCGCTTTCAGCTCTCTCGGTCGTCTACCGCGTCTACCGGACAGACCGGACGCAGCCAGGCTTCCCAGCGCGGAGGGCTTCCGGGACACGAAGGTCTGGGGACCACCCACCTGGCCCGGCCGCCCGTGGCGGTGGTGGGTCGCCGGCGGGTTCCGCGGGTGTCCGGAGCTCGGATGTTTTCTCTCGGATGGCCCGTGGCCCGCCTGGCCCACGCCCTCAGGTTGTATTCGACCCCCCAAATCCACCCACCCCAACCACCGAACTGAAACGGAGGTGGGCCAGGAGCCCTAGGGTCTGTGAGTGGCAAAGGTCGTGGAGCAAAATCGGTGTGTGGTAGGAAAAAAAGCGTAGAGATGGTGGTCGCTGTAGAAATTGCTGTAACATGCTGAAAACTCGACACATCAAAGTAGATTGAAATTGTATATGTTTTGAGATGACAAGCAAGTGGTTTGCATCCGAAAGACCAGGGAACCGTTGGGGATTCTTGGTAGATGTCAGGAATTGCCAACTGAGTAGTTTCGGACACAAACTTCTCTGAGGTGGATATTGTTCGCAGCTCTCACATGACTCCTCTGGGTTTCGTGTTGTACAGACAGCATGCTTGGAAACAGGTTTGGACAAGCAACCAGTACTGCAGACACTCTATATATGGAATGTTGCCCTCTGAAGGAATACCCCTGTTTGTATGTAAAACGTGCCAGTCCCATCCCTACGGCTCCAAGTAGCTCCTCAGGTTCGGTATGACTGGACCCTCCTGGCACCCGCCTCAAACACTTTCTTGGAAGATCTTGGAAGTACTTGGAGCCCTAGGGCACAAAGTCTTTTGGGGTATACAAACCCTTTGTGGAGTTGAAGTGCCGCAGTTGACGTTGGGTGCACCCCCAAGGCATGGTGAACCCGAGACCGAGCGAGGCAATCGGATCACCTGCAAACCTAAGGTTCTTCCTGCACTCCCTGACGTTGGCACTGCCAGAGGAGGTGCCTGCGCCATGCTGCGCCACTTAAGCCATTTTTGGAAGGACACCATCAAACTGATGTGAACAACCTAGAAAGAACACCGAGTATTAGCCCAGCTCCATGCGTTCATGGTGCCCACCCTCTGGGGCTCCGGCCACACGACTTGGTTGTGCCTGTTCAGCCGTTGAGGTGACCAAAGTTTGTGTATATGACCTAACCTGTAACCCCAGATGTGTTTCTGGAGCTTTAGGGCACGACAGGCTGGAAGGGCAAGTTATCTTTTGAATCAGAATGACTCCTAACATGCGCAGGTGCCGCGAGAGCAGCAAGCTCAGATCAAGAACTTGCTGGTGTCTTTGCGAGAGGCGAGGGTCGTTGGCGTCAGCGGGGTTGGTGAACGATCCAAACAATCCAACCAGTGACCCCTTTCGGGATGGGCGATTGAGGGGGTGATTTGGGAGGATGAAGTAGACAAGGTCGAGGTGGCCGTTCTCGGCTTCTGCGCAGTCGAGTCCAAAAGGGATGAAGTCGATTCAGTGGGGTGGGCATGTTGGTGGGAAGTAGACTTGGAGTCTCAGTTCATACCTCCGACAATGGGTACAAGTACCTGCTTTTTATGCGTCATGTCCCATTTTCTAAGGTACTTTGGAGGGTCCAGGTAGATTCAGTGGGCATGTCATATTCAGACGAAATTCAGTGGGGAAGTTCAGCTTCTGAACATGTTTGCCTCCACATTTTTGCCTCCTAAACGTTCCGTGGAGCAGGGAAATCGGTGAACGGTTGTTCGAACGCCGCCGGAAGGCCAAAAACCAACAAAACTCCTTGACAAAAATCAATCCATCCCAGTGGCCCAGTGAGGAGTGAATTCTCCGGCAGGTGTGGGAGTTTAAGGATCTAGGGATCATCAGTCACAAGGATGCCGGGATGCCGGTTCCGAACCGTTCGGAAGGAGGAGACGGATGCCCCCTGTCACATCGCATACCACGGCCCCTGTCATGACGAGGCAAAAGCATCCAAAAGCCAAGCCCTGACTTGCGGTGACTTCTGGATCTCTTCAACTCCTTCTTTGTCTCGCCGCGTTTCACGGTCTTCCCGGGGAAACACCTCGTCGTCTGGCCACGCCGTCGAGCCTCCAACCCGCGCGGACGACGACGCGGTCAGGTCTTGCCCTGCGCCCAGTGTTCGGACCACTGGAGGGAGCAGATGGAAGAGGTGGGCTCAGAAAGGGGGGGCTTCATGGAGTGCTCAGATCGGATTTGGTATCTGGACTGACTGTCAAGGACGGAAGATCAAAAAATGTGCGTTTGGAGTTGAACCGGAAAAGACCGGGTCAAGCAGGTCAAGCAGGTCCTGTACCCATCTTCTGGAGCACGGCTTGAGACTGGCCCGAAGGATTCCTGACACCTGAGCTGATCCGACCGATCCATAGTTCAGCCAGGTCACATCCAGCAAATATCCAGCTCCACCACACTCCATCATCGCTTTTGGCGGCTGGCATGAGCCCTGAAGCATCCTGAAGCAATCCTGCAAACAGATGCTGGACCTGATCCATGCGCTTGAAACGATTTTCTGACCAGTATCAGGATCCAGGAAGAATTGGGTGGACACAGTGGAGTGGACACCCCTTCATCCCCTTCACGACGTCGGAGCTATGTAAACAATACCATACAAGACCCCTTGGGGGGTGTTCTTTGACGCAGTATACCACCGGCAGAGACCACGTCGTGGGTGCTCCACGAAGCCACGACTCCAAGAGAACCGCTCAGTGGCTGGGCTCAGCTCGGTTGGGAGGTCAAATCCGGTCGATGAAACAACGCGAGCTCGATGAATTTAAAGGGAAGTTGACCCATACCATAGAGCGCATAGAGGCTCCTTAGGGTGCACCCCCCAAAAAAAAACCACCTCAGCAAGGACAGAGCGACGTAATTTCGTAATTTGCGCTGAAAAGGGGCGGTCGGCGTAGATGGCCAAAACCAAGATAGACTCGGCGTTTTTTGTTTTCTGAGGTTGTTGAAGGTAATGATTGGTTTGATAGATGCAGAACCAATCCGCGTTGTGGTGATTCATGATAACTCGGCCCGACAATAAGCTTGGGATCAAATGCCTGGTGACTCGGACATTCTTGAGTATGTTTTTCTTCAGTAGTTCCTATAACTCTTGCCAAGCATTTTTTGGCTTAGGATGGCTTAGGGATTGATTGTACAAACTCAAATCCAGCCATGGATCCGACCAGGGAAACCGTGGATTAAGTGATAGAAATAGAGCAGGCCTGGGAGAAATGCCAAATGGTTTCTGTAGCCCGACGCACCCTTCTTTCCTGATTTCCTATATTGCAGTGGCACAAAGTACTCGGTGAATGGATAGATTTAATACAGTGCTATCACCAAGGTGAAACTTAGAGGACGCTGCATGGACCACGCATAGTTCAACTAGGCACTCACCATGAACCAACTAGGCACCCTTGCGTGGCAACATGTGGCAACTTGTTCACACGTGTTGTCACTTGCCCGATCCTTCGGCGCAGTTTGTAACCATTCGGCTTACCCAGACCATATCACCCCCTGGGATCACCCCGTGGGCAAATAGGGTCCAATGGTCTGGTCTGGGTTAGTTGGGATCCTAAATGAAACATTTTGGATGGTGTAGAGTTGGGATAGGCTTCGCTCATTTGAAGCCGCCGTTGGAACAGGGACCTGTCAGACCTGGAAGCAGCGGGATCAGTATCATCTTCGCACCTTCCCAGAAACGTTCGAACCGTCTGAATCAGTCCGAATCATTATTCAGGTTGGATGCACCAGATTGATTCGGAATCGGCATCGACAGATAAGCGTCATGTGGTTTGTCAACCACACTTCCGAAGTCGGAAGTCTTTCCCCAAAGGCAGTCTTGCGTAGCGTGCGTAGCTTCTTGTGACGTTCGTAGCGATGGCCTCCTACAGTACTAGCGATGGCCTCCACCTAGTGTAGTAGCTTCAGTCGGATCACCTCCAGGAGTTTCAAAAGGCAGAGAAAGCCTCTTGGATAGGACGGCCATGTTGGGCGATGCGCTGCCGCTACGGATTGCGGATCCGCCGAACCAAACGTCGAGCCAGGATCCGGTCGAACCACATTTGGCTCACCGGGGTAGCATGGTGAAGTGGATGATCCGCATGCACAACAAGGCCGGGAAGAATCAGCAATCCCAATCCCAGAACACCCTACATCACGGGGCGCTAGTGGGTGGTAAGGGGTGTCCATCAGCCACACCCTTGGGCAGAAACACTCGCACCTCTGTTTGGATGTTCAGTGGGCTCCAATCAAGGAGTTTTCATGAGTGTTCCGTCATATTTTCAATTGGTGGTCTCCCTTTTCCAATACACACCCATTGGCCATACATTTTGTATTCTGAGACAGGTTCTCGCGGACGCCACGTTTGCCGATTTTGTGTTCCAACAATGATGGTCGAATCCTGTGCAGTAGTACCAAAGCCGAAATATGAAGCACTCTAATGGGACACAATAGGACGATGTACATCCATTTGACATTACAGGTCAGTTGCAATGGCCCCGTATTTGTCCATGGGCCCTGTGCAATGGCTTTTCGTGTCGAACAAGGTCCCACCCGACCTATCTGAATATGGTAAAACATCCCCAGAACGGCCCGGCTTGTGTAATTATTCAACAATCTACATTTACACTAAATAGTGGTCCCCAAATAGATGTGGCACGGTTTCCAATCAATACATTCTTAGTGGAGATCTACTGTCCTATCTATTTGGGGGTCTATATACACAGTTGGGAAGGTTCCCCTGATGTGTCCATTCCACGCGCCACGCAAAAAGGCCGCGGCCACGCCTCCGCGTTCCAACCCACGTGACGACGCCCCCTCACCGAAGCGGCAGCAGTCGCTTCGGTGAAGGTGAACCAGCGGAATGGCCTAAAGCTGCAGACGGAAGCCGAGGCGCAACTTGTTCGCTGTAGACGGGAGGCTGCAGAGGAGCATCGTCACCTGAACGGATTGAATTGATTGAAGTGAGCTGTATACCTACATTTTGGAGGAAAGTGGTTGAAGTTGGCCGAATCAAATTTCAACCACATATGAAGTATGACTCCTGTTATATGATGTGTTATATTTGCAGGATGGATGTTTCATCACCTTTCCTGCTTTTTGTGCAGAAACCCATTAAATTTGAGGAGTTTTGAAGCATACAGGACTGAACATCAGGTATTACAGTCTACCTGGTCCACCTGCAAGCTTAAAAGCAATATCGCACTGATCACACACTCAACACAAATGAAGTTTTGGATCATAAAACAACAACCGTTGAATGATAATTGATATCTTACATGTTTAATACTTTTCGTTCTCGGGGTCGCTGTTTGCTGCAGCGGCGAGGTGCTGGAGGAATATCAGTTGGCCTACGACAAGTTTGGCCGCTGGGGAGGGCCGGAGTCCTCAGGTTTCTACAGATTCTTTCCAATGTTGACTGTTCACTGGACAAAAACCCTCCAAGGAATCAAGGGATTTTAGGTTGGAGGCCATTGCTATTTGGTTGGAGACCATTGCTTCGAGGTCCAAAGGAATCTATCTCAAAAGTCGGGTGAAATCGGGATCCTCCCGTTTTCAAGACGCTTTACAGACCAGACAACCGATCCGCCCGCCCGGACCGAATTCGCCGTTCGCTCCACCGGGCTGCTCGTCCACATTCAGAATCATGAATTCAGCTCTGCAAATTTTCGACCGGTCCTTTTAAGCCTATATAGCAGCTATTGGAAAGACCCTCATGTTTGGACCCCCTGTCGTGAAGCACATGACAGAAGACGTGCTACACCCTTCGACTGAGACTGAAACTCCCTGACACTTCATGTATGGCATCCTACTACCTACATTGGGGTGGTTGAAAAGGGGTCACAGTAGGCATGTATACATATTCCATATATGTGGAGTGTTTGGGATTGACCTGTCTTGCTGGATAGCGCTGGATCCCCGGATCTCACATGTTCTTCGGTTCCATCCGACGGTGACAGACCTCCGCTGGCCGTCGCGCGCCGAGGTTCCAAGCAGTTTTGGGGCCGAAGATTGAGAAGTCCGGTCACCGAGACCAGCGACAGGGAGGAGGAACCCGGTCAGAGTTCATCCATCGGTTTGTTTTAACAGCTCCAGAGTTCCACCAGCTTAGCCATAGGGCTCCAAGCACATTTCTCAGGATGATATAATATATATATATATATGACATGGGTGTGTCTTAAAACAGGGAGACCTCCTAGGCAACGACGTTTTGGAAGGTTCGGGAAATAGACCAATCTACCCAGGCGGGGCGATTGTGGCATTTTTGTTGGGCCAACACTCAACTCATCAGCTGTGTTTCTCATGGCTATCTCTACACTGACAGCTACTATAATTGGTCCATTCATTTTGATCCCGTAGATCAGTTGGACATGGTCTTTGACCCCCAATATCGATCTTGGATCCACGCTCCGTTCAAACGCCAAAGAAGAACATAATTCAGTGCAGTTCTCACACGAATCAAGCTCACCAGAACTAATGGATGCAGTTCTCAGATTCCACATACAGTTCCTTGCTGCATGTTGACCAAGGAAACAAAAGCATCTATATAGCCTCTCTCCAGCAAATGCCTGAGAAGTCTTAAGCTCCTGTTATCAACTATCGGGAGGTATCTTTTTTTAGGACGACCCCTTCCTTTTCAGACACTGAGGTCCTACAGCACCAGCAAGGTCCTCCCCTCCCCCTTCATTGCAGCTGTGCCATGGCTCAGTGGGGCGCAACATGAACTGCTCGGACGCACGCCGGTCGGACGGTCGATTCGGTGTGAGAAATGGCCTTTACATCCACCAGCCAACCACCCATCCTCCACACTGCACGCTCATTCATTTTACCGTCTACGCACCCGAGGTCTATTTTAAACCAGGGCAAACACCACCTGATCCCCCGACTTCGATCGGATCGTTGGGCCTTGTTTCGCTGCTGGAGCGGCGTTCGTGGTTCCGAAGGCGCGGATGGCACCTGGCACGGGGTGTTCGGAATTCGGCGGATCTGTTGTTACCATGAGTTGGTAGGGCATCATTGAAATAGAGAGATGGTGACAGGAGAGTGGCCATGATCGACCTGAGCTAGGTGATCGACCTGCTGAGCTAGGTGATCGACCTGTTGAGCTATAGGTGATTGGGTGGGTAGTTTGTTTGAACATGTGTTATTGTTTTTTGTACTCGGAATGTCGTGGTGTGGATCAGTCTTTGGCCCACCGGGAAGGTTTTGTGAAAAGATGGGCATCTTTATGCATTGTTAATCTTTGCTTGACATCTTGGTGTCCTAAATGCCTGGTTTGTTCTTGGACCGTAGGGAAACCTGGATTCTGGTCAAGACACGCTGCCAACGTGCTTTCCGACCGGCTGGTGGTGGCACGAGGCGCCTCATGCCCCAGTCGACTGAGGTACTTCTCTTCGCATGTCTAATGCCCCAAGGAGGCTGAGTACTTGGGCAGCGCAGCCAACCTCTCGGGCTGGCTGGTTAGGGCGAAGTTCGTATCTAACTATGCACCGGTCTCGTTGAGAAGGTCTTGGGATTGGTCGCTGGACAATCCCACGGAGTCTTCTTTCATCAGATTGGTTCAATGTTGAGAAAAGCTATGAAAAGCTCATCCCATGAAACTTGAGGGCGACATCAGAGAAGAAAGGTCCGGGAGTTTAGACAGAAACCACTGAGCCTCAGAGGGATCTCTTGGTTGATCCTCAGAACCCTAGTTTTTGCTGAGCATCACAGTACCTTCATGATGGGTGTGCCCCATTCACAGAGGATTCAACAGACACCGAGTGCCAAAAAATTGATGCCCATGGAATTGAAGCAATAGAACATGAATGTCATCGAACACCGCTGCATGGTTTGTGACCAACTCCGCTTGCTGCGATCGCTGGAGATCGTGGAGATCTGCTCAATGGCAGAGCCCGACCCTGCGGATTCGCGTGCATGCATCCCGCGAGCGCAGAACCAAAAAGGTTTGGGTCTGAACAGACACGAAAGGCACTCCTGGCAACTACACAGTCCAACAGGTGGTGGGGTTCTGTGAAAGTGGAGGATTAATGGGGATGGTATGAAGTTGCCCACTCAACAGATTACGACCTTTGGTGAACGCCCCAAGACAAGACAATTGGGTCTCTTGCGCAGATATCCCATGATCACGGTCAAAAGAGGGTTGCAGAAGGCAGTGCTCAGAGGACTTGCCTATTGTTGCCAACATGCACTGAGGTTGATATGCTCTCACCTGTGCAACCTGCAAGGACATATCAGAATATGAAAGATGCAGTGCAGCCAATCAACTTGTTCCTGAGCAAAGAGCCAGAGTTTTCATAAGGTTTGGTAAGACGAATGTTGGCTTCTTTGACTTTTCATGCAGAAAGACCGGGAAACTCTAGACTTCGCACAGAGACATGTATACAATTCACCAGCATGTGGACTGACACTTGTATACGTTTGGTATGATGTTTGGAACATCTTAGAATCCTTGGGAAAAGCCGAGCTTTGGTGCACATGCAGACCAAGCTTCCAGTATCATCGATTTTATCCAATTAACACTGACCAGGATATTAGACACTTAATGTTACCATCAATATGATGCCTATGATGTTACACACCTTGCAAAGCTTCATGGACACTATCACAAGGATTATGCGTTTCAATGGAACTGTTTGAAAAGATTACTAGCGGTTCCACGAATGCAAGAAGCCTTGCATGGGCAACACTTGATTTTTGGTAGACTACACCCTAACGGTGGCGGTTCAAACAGAGAGACCAAATACTCACAGATGAATGGCAATCCGTTTCAGTTGAGACACCTTGCATCACTTGCAACACATGTACGAATGGCAGCTGGCGAGGGCGAAGAAGGCGGGGCAGCACATGGATGTGGACACTTTGTAAAAAACATAAAGAACTCATTCTAAGAAACGACATACACAAACATTGCCCAAAAAGTGACCAAACGATACAATGACCGTTCAATCCCAGACTCTCCGTGTACGGAAGAGTTTCCTACATTAGAATCACAAATGAGGTACATGTTTGCAACTGTTCCATACATGCTTGGGAATCTAGAGCACTGAGCAGTGGATCATTAATTAACTGATCTCAGGGTAGCTTGCAGAAGTCAGGTACTTGTGCGCAATGGCCGTATTCGTTATGAACCACCCCATGATATGTTTGTGCTCGACTAGTCCCAAAAGCAAAGCGCTACAAGAACAATGAACAAGCAGCCAGGTACCATGGTTGGAAGGCCACAGCAATTAAACAATCATGTGGAACCATCATGTTCGGAAACTCAAACAGCACAAATAGATGTGTCCCTGTCAGGGCAGTACAGTCTTGTTGAAGGTTAATTTAGACCTAAATCCTATATATAATAGTTGAGGGAGATACAATATACCAGTTTCACCTGGTTGTTTGGGGTTGGCTTTCCCTCACTGCCTTAGAATCATGAACCCGTTCCCAGTCCGTGCTGAGTCCTTGAAGTGCAGGAGTCCTGAGTTACGGCAGATAGCCTTGTCAATTAGTCCACTGACAGCTAATCCAACCTGATTCCTACTAGCCACATGGGACACTGGCCCAAAAAATAGACTGCACCCCATCCTACAGGTCCCAATTTTAACCCAGCAAAGTGTTTGTGGACCTTACTGAGTAGTGTTTTTGTATGATCAACGTGACTGACATGAGGTCCTTCGCTGACCAAAAACGGGCTCCTGCTGGTCCAACCCGCCCGTTCTGAATCGCCTTGGCCGGGTGCGGGTGCTTTGGAGCACAGGTGGTCCTATGGGCGAGAGGCCTGGTGGCTTCAGCCACCCAGAGTCAGCTGCCGCGACCTTTTGTTAGGGCATTCATTTTCTCCACAACAGATATGAACAGATGAAACCAAAAGGCGAAGGAAAAGAGGTTAACCATGGTGTTCGTCCGACATGGGTCCGACCGTGGTTTTGTTTTGAAGGGTCATCCACAGCAGTCTCCACCGCCGAAGAAACATGGTTCGACTCGACGAATCGTTCTCTCGGTTCATTCCAGTTCGCGCAGACCTTCACTTCGCGGCGACCTCGTTTTGTTTTCCGCTGGATCGAGTCTGGGGTTCATCCATTCGAGGAGAGCGTACGAGACGAGCGTCGAGCGTGTACGCTCGTCCAGGAGTCCCAGAACAAGAGTTGAAGGTGTTTCTATACCCAGACGCTCCATGTATTGCATATTTACATCTTTGGGGTGTGGGGCGGCATATCTGGCAGTCCCATTGGTCGTGTCTGGGATGGCACTGTTCTTTTTTAGAACACATATCTGGCCCCCAAGGGACTGGTGAATGGACACCCCTTGACCTCGTTTTCGGGGCTATGACCCCTTTCCGTGGTGCTGGTATTGGTGTCGATATAGGGAGACTGCACCCCGTAACGATCGTCCGCTGGGTAGACAGGTCTACTTCCGCTTCCAGGAGGTCGGAATGCTGTCGGCCTCCCTGTTTGAGCGACACACCCAAATACTGAGTCCAAAGTCCAACTCTCCTTTGGGGTTGAAAGGATCAAGACTTGTGTTTTTAGCAGACTTTGTTACATAGTGGAGTCCGACACATCTATTAAAGCAGACATAGAAAAGCATAGTCTGCCTGCACCCTCCAACAGGTCTCCTCTGAAACTTCTTGAGCCTTAACTGGTCTCAATTGTGAGGGTGCAAGAATAACAGCCATTATGCCAATGCCATGCCATTGAAGATCCTCCAGTCAACCCGCCGCGGTCTACCTGTCCCAGGGACTTCGACTTGGAGAAGGCACCAAATGACCTGCGGCAGATGAATGGGACGAAGAACCCCAGACACGCCGGATAGGACTGGAAGATTAGCCGGCTCAGAAAGACTCTGAAAAACCACCCCAACTGATCTATATGCCAATGCCATGGAGTGTTTGGGTTCACAGTCAATTTGGTTCTTTTTGGGGTTAGCAAAGTCCTGCAACATGGAAGTATCCATCTGGAGGTATTGACCATTGACCGAGCCATGGTTTTCATAGAGCAGATATTGAGAGGTGTATAGAGTGACGGTTCCGGATAGTTATCATTGAGCAGATCGAAGATGAGACTATCCAACGCTGTTTGAAAGTGTCGGGAGTCGGGAGTTTAATTGTTTGATGATCGTGTTGTCGTATACTGATCCCTTCAAGAGCCGCAGACTGCATGGATCCAAGTCAGTGAGTCGGAGTTGAGTATATCGGTCTTCCTGCTTCGAACGTGCATACCACAAGACCCCAAGGCGTGTTGATTAGACCCTAATAGACATCCCTTACCACCCATTGGCACCTTTGAGGGTGTCCTGGTATAGCTAGTGTCCTTTTGTCCCCTCCTGTTTCTCCACAAGAACGGTTGAGTTGGCCGTTTGGAGCGCTTGCCCCACTTGAGTTGGATGGTTCGGTACCCAGACACGACCTGTGGACTGGAAGATATGCCCCCCATGTACCCCTGAAATGAACCACCCAATGTACATGCCAGTCCCATGGAGTGTGTGGGGGAAAAAAGTGTCGCCCTGTGCATGAAGAAACCCTCCCGGGCCTGGAGATCTAAAGTCATTCTAGAGGCAAAACCATCTTTGACCAGCGTTTGTGGTCTACATTCAGATAGATTCAGTTGGGTCTGGACATGTTTGGACGAACATATTTTTCCCCTATATACGAATCATTGTCCATGGTCCAAGCTTTTTCATGCTAGAGCTGATGGGTCCAGGTGGTGGTTGTCCCCACAGAGACTTTGAACATTAAATTTGGTGATTGGCCCCCTGCATTCATTGAAGGAAACGGACCAAGGCGTCGGCCTCAGGGCCCAGTCTTTGGGGAGCAATTCTGCGGTTGCTGCACTTGGAGCCGGACCAATGCCGTCAAGCATTGTCAAGCCATTTGCGTTCAAGAGAAAAAAGGATCTCGATCTGGCAGATTGCCACAACTGTCACATGAGATGTTTTCCATGATCCATTTAAGCTGCTAAAGCCTTGATTTGTTGGGTCGACCGAACACTCCAGACTGCTCCGGCCTCGCTATGTATCCCAGTGCGGGTTTGGTGCGCTACAGCACGGTGGGCGGTCCAGCCCCGGTATCAACCTGCTGGATCCGCGCCGCTCGTCCGGCCCATCCGGAGCGAGCGGTGCCCGAAGCGTCCCCTCCGGGGCTCGAGGAGTTCTTACAACGGCTGCACTTGGCGTCCTACACGGCCTCTTGGCATCCGCCGTTTCCACCCTGCGGTCGAAGCGCCGTGCGGGCCGTGCGGGCGGAACAGCCAGATGGTTTTTGCTACCCAGACCCAGACGAGAACGAGCCAGGCATTTCAGCCATGACGTTTGTGGAGTTTGTGGTTGGATAGGTCGCCAACCGTAACCTTGAGTTTCACGAACATTATAGCATGAAGACATGAAGTTACATTAAGTTGATTATCCGGCTTTTTCCAGCCTAAATCAGAAAAAGAAAAAACATCGCCACAATTATTTGAAGCTCTCAGGCTCTCCAACCTGGGCATACAAGAAAGACAGGCTTGACGGACTGATCTCTCCTTACCCCCAGATGTGTGCCTGAAACTGGTTCTCCACCACCAGCCCTCGGTCCGAACCCAACAAAACCAACGATGTGTTCACGCATGCCAACGAAGCCGCATTCTCCCTGCTGTTCTCCGAACTCGGGGTCTAAGGAGGCGGTGAAGGTGTGGTGTGAGGAGCAAGGTGCCTGTGAACTCTCCGAGTTGGTCGAGAATGCCGAGGACTTGGCGAAGACCCCTGGCGCAGTGGAGACGCCCTGCTCCGGCGGGGTCGATCCAGCTTCGCCGTGCGAGCCGCGCGGAGCTAGGTATGGGGGACGTTCCCCAAAACCACGAGAACCGCCACTGTTGGACTTGAACCTGTGAACCAGAAGTTCGTCTGTCTGGAGGAAAGCCCTTGAGGTTCGCCAGTCAATGAAGGTCCAACAAGAATTCTATTTTTGATATACCTGGACCCCCAAGCTCTGGTTAGTGGACACCCCTTGACCTCTTTTTCGGGGCAAAGGATTTGCTTGGTTTCCATCACGAGCGACGAAGCCAGTTGTTTTGGCACCCCAAGCGGGGCATCCATCCATGCGTCTTTGCCGAGTGCATGCCGCAGCCATATATGTTCAATCTCAAACTCTTTTCTTCTTTGAGGGGGGTCAGCACAGAGCTCCAAACTGGCTTTAGCAATACCAAAGGTGCACGGAAGAATAACAGTTAAAGGAACTACCACTGAGTCTAGAGTCTACCAAAATGGAAGTCTACCAAATTCGGGGGACACTTGCTGATGTGGAACCTTCTTTTCTCGCCATACCCAAACATCCATGACATAGTCACTCTTCCGCTGGTTGCACCGTGGTCCCCCTTCCCACCTGGTAGTGGGGTAGTGCTGGTAGGTTCCTGCAGGGTCCACCTGTGGGGAGTTCTTCCAGTTGGCAGACGTCCAAGGGCAGGCTGTATTGGCTGCAGCATTGATTCCCCTTGACTTTCTACTAACACGCATCCAAGGTCATTTGGGTCATTTGGGATTGTTTTTGTTTTTGTTTAATTCAAGTACCCACCCACTAGAATCATCTAGAATCATCACGAATCGTGCCGCTCATCCGCAAATTATGTAGTTGTTAGTTGGATGGACACAATCAAATCAATCATATATCTAATCAACAAAACACGGAAGACCCTTTGATCTGGAGGTTTTTAAATGTTTGATACGAGTTTAATAAACGATAGTGTGCAAACGCTTGAAAGTTTCCTAGGTGAACTGTGTGGTTTTGACGTGTTTTCCATGTTTCAATTTTTGCGGATCCCCCTGTTTTGGCACCTCCTATGATACACACTCAGATAAAAAGTTACCGGTTCCGTATCCTCAGGTTTGGTGGTATTCGACCCTCCTGGCACCCCCCCTCGACCCTTGTTTCGTTGTGTTGGTCGTTGGGGAACCTCCCATGACCGTTGAACATCTCGCACGCGACGTCGCCTCGCGGAACTTGTTCTGAGGACCTTGAGATTTCCGCCGAACAAAGCACAAGAGATCAAGGCGAGATCAAGCACAAGAGATATAAAGCAGTATATAAAGCCTATACCTTGGGGGTGTGCCTTCTTACCTGTAACAGTCGGTAAACGATTTATCACTATTTAGAGAAAGGACTTTACTAACGATCATCATCCACTGTTATTGGCCAAACCTATACCAGCAATTCCAAAGGAGTGGTTCTGAGCCTCATCCGGTGAGTGGATGTTTTCGGCACCCTCCACACTTTGGAACTGCTGGTAGTTGCATCTCCCGGCATGTGTTTGTTGGACAATGTTTTGTAAAGGTGTTCTGGAATCCTTGGAGTACAGAGAATTTGAGAGAAGTGCTGAAACCTGGCCGGAGCCTTTTAGTGTGCTTTTGGGATGTGGTCCTTATTTACTAGGATGTGCCATCATATTTATATAGACTGCTGAACATCCGTGTTTTCCTACTAGTTCTTGTAGCGCTGAACATCCGTTGAACATTCATTTGAGAACTCCGTCAAATGTGTGATTGACCACTCCCAGACACTCCATGTATGCCATATATGCCTACATTGGAATGGGGTCAATGTCGGCATATACGGCGTACGTGGAGTGTCTGGGACTGCACCAGACTGTCTGGAATTTTGGGAGGTTAAGGGCCCTGCTTTCGTGAAAGCCATCGAGAAGCCTAAAATCTCGAAAGCCATCAGTGCGCCACCAGCAGCGCTTGCGCCGCCTGCGCCGACGCGGGTGCTGGGGCAGCTGGGTGCTGATGTGCTCCGGGCAGCTTTCATGCCCAAAGCACTGGAGATGAAGGCACCGGGGGGGGGGGGCATGGCACTGACAAGACACGCAGGCTGGTTGGGAGGGAAGAGATAAGCACAGGGCAAAAGAGCCTAAATTCAGACAAAATCAGCAGGTAATTGTTTGTCATAGAATACTGAAGTGATGTTTGTTGTACGATCTTGTACGGATAATCCGTGAAACAGAAACGTTGCAGCTGTGGAGCCATTGTTTGAGCGCCCCGGACGGCCGCCACCGAGGAGGAAGAGAACGCTGCAAAGCCTGGCCTTGCTTCGACGGATCGTACTGAAACCGTGCGACATCAACAAGAGCTTTTACATTTTGGTTAAACGCCTATAACGAAACCGACCCTAAAAACCTAAGGTGTTTGATTCACACCTCCGCACACCTCTAAGGTTTTTTCTTCTTCATACCCTTAAAAACCTCCCCGTGTCAGAGGAACATCTTCTCGCCACCTGGTGATTCGACCAGGGGCGAAAGGCTGAAGATTCTGTTTGCAGGTGCGGGTGCCCTCCATGTTTTTGGCACCCTTGGTCAGACCCTGGGCATCCGTTTTCGTTTCGATCCTCACCTCAGGGAACCTCAACGACTGGACCCGTTCCAAACCTATCCCAGACGCTCCATGTATGCCATAGATGCCTACATTGACCCCAAAACCACCAATGTAGGTATATGGGGCAGTCCCATGGAGTGTCTGGGTATATAACAGTGTCGACACCGTCCTCACCGTACCTGAGGTTCGGTACGAAAACGGATCCCTAGGGAGATGCACTTCTCCTTTTCAGAACCCCCTCGCAACCCAGAGCTCGACGACTCAGAGCGGGGCTGTCAGACGGTCAGACGTCCTGAGGAGACAGATCTCTGGGATGAACGGGAAGCACGCTGTCATCTCCAGGCCATGCAGGATCCCTGTCTTTTCTATTCAGCTGAAGTGCCGGATGATTCCCTGAAGAAGTTCTCCGGCGAACGTGCCTTGCGGAAGACGGTGCGGACTGGAGATCGTCCGCGGACGAGGGAGTGGGTTGCCGGTATATACCTGGACCCGACTGACCCAGTATCCTATAGAAAATGGGACAGCCGGGGTGTTCTCTTCTTCAGTTGATGTCTGACAACAGACTTCTTCACCAGCGCTGCGGCAACAAAAAGCAGGGCCATATATATAGATATATAGGTAGGATGAGCCTGGTGTCTAAAGTTGTGTTCATCGTCCATTGCCGTCAAAAGATGTAAAAAAGGACAATAATAATAGTTGTATAATTACTGTTCTGAAGATCGTCGTGTCCCTCCACCAATTTCAGACAACTAATTCGGTCGTCAAATGTTGACCTTTTCTCCTGCAAGTTTGAGGCTCCAAGCGCCACGAGCTCCACCCATCCTCAGAAGGTGAGGACAGAAACCCCTCCTGGCACCCACCCCCCACCATCGAAAAGGAAAGTAGCTGGATCCGGGAATACCTGGAGCCGACTGACCCAGTCCCGTAGAAAGTGGCACATGACTCGAAGAGAAACCGGACACAGCGGCTTCATGTTGGGCCCCCTAGGTTACTACTATCGTGGCTATGTGGAGCCGCACCTCTTGCGCCAGCGCAACCCCACTGAAGCGGAGCTGAAAGTGAAGGACAGCCATGGGTGAGAACCTCACGGCTGAAACACATTGGTTCACTCGAGTTTGATGATTCAACTAGATCCCTAAAAAATACTGAAACGACTATATGCATGCAGCATGCATATATAGTATAAGCGATGTCTCAGTCACACATTTCAGCACCAACAACAGGTTATCAAGATTTTTGATGTTTCAAACATGTTACTGACTTCCAGAGTGATGAAACAGATATATATATATATAGGTTTGACCTTTGATCTGCTGGATTTCTATCTCTAAACCTCTTTGTTTCAACTCCATGTTTCCACCTGAATTCACAGGTTTTCAGGAACACTCACCGCTCCGGGATTGATCCTACCCTTTGCCTCGTCCAGGAGCGCGCCTCGGCAGAGGCCAAGGAGCAGCTGGACGCCGCCTGGGGCGACGTCGCCGATTCGCCGCCGTCGATGCCGCGGGCGCAGCAGCGAGCGCAGGCTGCACGCCATGCAGCCTTCGAAGATGCTGGGTGTGGAGGAGGTTGGGGCGGTTCAGCCACCAAAAGGTTTTTACACTCCCTAGAACTTAACTAACATGGAAGTGAAAAAAAAAACTGTTTGTAGTGGAAAATTGTCTTCCAAGGGGTCATTCTCCACTTCCATGTTAGTTCCTGGGAGTGTAAAGGTTATTAAGATCAGCTGCCTTTTTGGCCGCTTTTTGGAGGTCTTTGTGAAGTCGAGTTTCTCCACCTGTTGGGGTTTCAAAACCTGTTTTTTTTGTGTCCCGGTTCCAGCAAGAGGTGCTCATGGGATTTGGAGAGGTGTCATGTGGCATTTGACTGCTTTTTGGATGTGTTTGTGTTGTTGTTGTTTTTTTAAATTGTTTTTAACTCTTCTATTTTTTTCTGGGCCCTTGGTCTTAACGTGTTGTAGAAAGAGACTGGATAGACTTCCTGTGCACACGGTTGCTGACATGAGTGATTGATATCACTATGTCTCAGGATCCATCTTTGGCAGGCTGGGGAATCTGTAAAGAAGCAAACCGGATGGGCGACGCACCGTCTTCTGCCGTGCTGGCTGACCGAATCCGATTCGCGAGACTGCCTGTGGATCTCCCAGTTGCACCCCCTTGAAGACAGACAATACAGATGAAAAATATTGAAAAGTAGACCGAAAGCCCTGGAAGCTGGTGATCTCTCTACAAAACATATATAATATGTTAGAATATACATGATGTGGATGATGGATGTGTGAAGGACAAATCCAGGTTCCGAATCTTCCCAAAACCTTCCAGATCCTTGGATATCCGGGGCATCCGGCGCATGTCCAAGGACATTCGCCAGGAGTTCCTCTCGCAGTTCGAGGGAAATCTGCAGCAAGAGCTGGGCAAAGGCTACAAGCTTACGCCAGCTGATGTGCATCCCAGGGTGAAGGAGTCCCGGGGAGTACGGTGGCGGCGGTGGCCCTTTTGGGGACAGTGGCGATGTACACCCTGGAAGATTCACATTGAAAATGGACCTTTGGAAGCTTCCTCTACAAACCAGTGTTTTTTAGGTTCCATGTGGACCTCTTCCAGGGAGTAGCAACGACCCCCTGGAAGAAGGTGAACATAAAACCCAATGTTCATTGGTTGGGTTGGGTGCCTCGACTTAGGACTGCTGTCAAGAGCGAACGCCTCCCGAACCGTCCCCCGTATATATACCGCGTTCTTCTACGCGCCATGGGTCCCATGGGTGCTGGGGGAGATGGAGGTTCCGTGGCTGGGCTGCTAGACACAACTCGAAGGGGTGATCGATCCTAACGCGAAGGAGTCGCTGTGAAGAATCGGCCTAGCTCCATACCAGGGGTTCACAGAGCTCGGGGTGGTGTGGCTCGTCCCATCCAGTGAGTGGATGTAATTATATATTAATATATACCTGGACCCTCCAAGGACTCCAAGCAGTGTCCTGGCTGGACTACCCCACACTACCGGCCTAGGCTTCCAGACAGGACACCCCGACAGAAGGGTCCTGGTATATATGATATCCCATATTTTGTGGTAAATGGATGTAAATGTATATGGTATCTAGACAGTCTTACCTCACTATAATATGCATGTACGCATGTCTAGTTCTTTGGCAATGCATCTAATCCATTGGGATTGGGTTTTGCATGGTGTTGCAATTAAATTACGCACCTTTGTTATTGATTTTCTGCAAGTGTCTCGCTAGTGGATCGTGTTGTTGCTTTGCTTTAAACTGATTGAGAGTGTTCCTTTTTTGTCCGCACTTGGCAAACTTGGTCGGCTTGCAATTCCAGCTTTGATTTGATTATCAATACCTAAAGTTACCATGCTTTTGGCCCCCGTTTTTGGATATCGAGGCACTCGATGCTTCTTTGCAACATGTTTCTTTGTGCTGTAGAACAAGACAAAAGGTCTTCCTGCTGTCTAAGGGGGCGTTTGTTGGGCGGCAATAGCCGGATGGCCGAATTTGCGTGCAGTGGTCTGATGCGGAGGTCAATTCCTACGTACAACGTAAATGATATGGCCGTTCTGACGTGGAACAATGGAACATTCAGCAGGCAAAATTTACTGTATGCATGTATTGCCAAACTGCTGAAGCTAGTGTTTTGGATAGAAAAACATGCAGGTCTTGAAGACTGTCCAATGTGGCTTCTGAGACCATGATGCCAGTTGATCAGCAACATGGGGACAATGTGAGTGCCTAGAGAGTGCCTATGGATGTTTGCTTACTTGTGTGTTATTCCCCCTTGAACAACGAACTGTGCCTATGGAGAGTGCCTAGAGAGTGAGGGTTCGTTGTTGAAGTTTGCCTTTGGACTAACTTAATGCAGTGTGGCCAAGTTTGGACTCACTCACTCAATGAGGGTTAGTGTCTTCAGTTGGCCTGGTCGCCATGGCACTTCGTAGAGTCGACTTCCACATGGTGTACGGTGTTCGCCTTGCCGTGGCCTAAAACCAACGCAGGAACCATGGTTTTTTTCGGAGAACCTATAGGAGGGAGTGTTGTTGGAATCTCAGAGTAGGTGTCGTGAGTGTAGCCTATTGTCGTTTTTGTTGTCGTGGGTATATAGGTGTTGTTGTGAATAAAGGTTGGAATCTCAGAAGCTGGGTAACTCCAAGGCATGTTCTTTCAAAGGATCTATGCTTGTCTACGGCATGTGCCTGTGACGAACACAGCGCAACACACTGCTTAGGACCGCCGGACTGCCCCGAAGCAGGCTGCCCACCCTTTTCAGGTTACTGTACATTGCAGTTTTACGTCGAAAATACTCTGCGCCATACTCTTGTTTGAACACCGTATTGAGATGACCCCTGTGTAGGGGTGTTCTTTTCCCCTGGCCAACACGGTCTCGAGCAAAACTTGACGTTCAAGATACGCTTCTGGATTTGGGGAGGGCTCCGCATCCAACGAACCGAAATCTGTGTGGCGGCCCTGGGCACGCGCCAAGCCCTAAGACTTACCATTGATGGTGCTTCAGGTCTGATATCTTGTGACAGAAGGTCTTAGTGGATGTAGTTCTTGGTGTGACCTCAGGGTCTCAGTTCGGATCTCAGTTCGGAACAGCTGTGAACAGCCTTGGGGCCACTGAGGCCACCACCTGCAACCCTTCCACCATATGACTAAGTCAGGGGAACCCGTGAATAGATAACAATTCTGAGCTGTGGAGCTGGGGTTATGATCGTGTTTTTGCAGCAGCACCACGGATTCCGGGTGTCCATTACCAGCCCCATAAAAGAGGTGATTCGGGGTGTCCATTAACCATTTTTGGGGGGGGTCCAGGGATGCTTTGGGTTCTATATCTTTGAGATTGAAGTGCCAGGAGAAATTTGTCGAAGAAAGCAAGTCTCTGGGAATCTCAGACTGTTACAAGGTGGAGGAGAGCTCGGTGGCCAATTGTTGGCTGGGACACAAAAGCAAGACGCCAAATGTAGCAAATGAGTTTGAGCTTTACAAGAAGGACCAAGGGACACCGCCCTGGTCCAATGGGTTGGGTCGTTCGGCTTGTCCGATCTGTAGGGGTCTCCCGGTCGTTCCACATCGAAAGAGTTTTTGGTGTCGGTGGCTGGATCTCAGGAATTGTCCTTCCCATGGCAGGGGTCGGACCTGACCTCTTGGCAGGGGTCCGGGCCCTCAAAACCTATCTGTCCTATCTGTTTGAGGACCCGGATTCTTAGGGTTTGCTAAATCTGCGCAATCCCAGCTTTGAGCCAAAGGAACCGCTTAAGAAGGCTCGGTCGATGAAAGAAACCCACGGGTCCGACTTGAAGACAGGAATTTCGTGCTAAACCCCCAACGCCTAGGCCTAGGGGTCGAAATCGGATGGTCCAGGTACCTGCAGTCGCTGAAAATCGGATGTCCTGAATCCAGGAGGCTCCAGTCATTCACGAAATGTCTTAAACTCGAACCCACCAGAAGCAGCTCCACAAACCGACCAACTGCTCCGTTTTCCGCCCAAGGCACCGGAGCTTTGGACTACGGCTACCACGGCACGCGCCAGGCCAACATCCCTTCGATCTTGGGCACTGGTCTCAAGGTGCCAGGCAATGAGAGTGGCGTGCGGGTGGCCAATGGAAGCGCACATGGTGTGGGGATCTACACTGGGCCGCCTGGTGATGATCTGGAGCTGGGTGAGAAGAGGTCGATGATGGTCGATCTTTTTTCGAGCTTTTGTGCAGCATGACTCTTGCATGTCTAAACAAGAAACATCCAAGAAACACCACTTAAACCTAAAAGAATTTCTAAGAAAATACTCGGTCTCAATACCGATCGGAGACCCTGGCCCTTCCAATATTTCTCTTTGTTCGTAACTGAAGGGTAGGGATCCAAGTACCTTCTCAGAAGCTGATTGGAGACACTGTTATGTAGGTTTGGAGGGTCCAGTAGTACCCTGTTCTGAAGGTACTTGGATCCCTATAAAGACTGAAGGGTAGGGTAGGGGAAATTCATTCAATGGGGCACGCATCCGACGGGAGCTGGACCGGAATTCCGCTTCTTCGACCCGGACGCACGACCCGGGAACCGGGACGGGAACCCAGGGTGTTTCGGGGGGATCACACAAAGAAACATAAAAACGGTTGGAACATGGTGAAAGTGTATAAGGCCTGGGATTCCAGAGGAAACAGACATGAAAAGACCAATTTGGCCTTAAAGGCTTTTTCAAAGCGAGTCCTTAAACGGTGGTCAATCGTTTGAGATTTTTCCGGGTCCTTCTCCAAGGATGCCTGGAAATCTTTGGATCTCCCAGAACTTCAGTGGCTGGGCGGCCTTGCACAGTTGATGCCATCTACTCTCATAGCAAAAACAATACAGTGATTTTAGAGTAGATGGCACTGGCACCCGAAGATGTCTTTTACATGGGGGTCCATACAAACATCCTTTTGGAGATTCTGCCATCTACTCTCAATCCACTACAACAGACTTCGAAGGGCAGGTTTTTTGGAAGAAGAGTTGTCCACTACCATGGATTGTTTTTGCCTTTTGAGCATGTCACTGGCCCCAGTGAAAGCCCACATGTTCCTTTTCATAGTTCGCCTGATGCTCAATTGTATAAATGATTATATATGCACTACCCAAGTTAGTGATTTATGTTGTTGTTTTTTTATATATTGATTTGTTGATTCCTTCCCACCCCAGTTCCAGACATGTTGAACATCTCCTGGAGTCAGCCAACGTATTATAATGTATTACATATTTGCGTGCCACTTTTCTTGAGAAATCTGCCCACTCAGGTGATTCCAAGAACATGCTCATTTGCGGAGTCCTTGATCCTGATGCTCCGCCCCGTCCGAAGGTTGCCATGCCCTCCCAGGCTGCAGTGACCACGACCACGCAGAGGCTGAAGGCAACACATCGACCACACCGGCGGCCCGTGGTAGCCGCCGCAGCTGCGCCGCCCCCGGCACCGGTGTTCAGCTGTACGGAATTTCGGACGAATGATGAGATCAAAGTGACTTGGGCCGCAGCACGTTTGACAAGTAGCGCCGCAGGCGGTGTGTTGTTTTTGTTTTCAGGATTCTGTAGCACCTGCTGGGTGGGTGGAAGGAAATTATGCGGTCAAATAGCTTGGAGATGTTTTTGGACTTTGAAGGATGCATTAATCATTAGGGTAATGGTAAGTGCCACTGGAGAAGCAACACTGGCTGTGGCATAATGACCAGTCAGAATGGTGTTGTCAAGTTCGTTGTTTTGTCACTTGGAACAAGTTCCTCGATGCTGGGCGAATTAAGATTGTGATGCGGCTCAGCCTATGGAGTCCTATTGTCCTTTACCAGGGCTTTGGATAACATCCATCTTTTTTGAGTCATAGCCACAGCCATTCAAGCGTGTTCAATGATAAGTATCATGGGAACGCTTCCACAAACAATACAACGCATGTTTTGTTCCCTACTTTGAGGCATCCACTTTCGTGACTTAAAACGTTCAATCAAGATGCGGCTGTCCCACTTGACATAATTCCAATATTAAAGCTGACCTCAAAATAGACACAGGGAATGTCCAAAACAAACAGCAAACAAATTTCCTAGGGATCCAAGTACCTTCTCAGAAGGTGATTGGAGACACTGTTATGTAGGTTTGGGGGGTCCAAGTACCCTGTTCTCAAGGTACTTGGATCCCTAGGGATTGACATGTTGTTGCTTTTTCAAGCACTGCACATTCCAAAAAAGAAAGAACCGTTTCAGGTGGTGGGCGCCGCTCGTGTGATCTTCAAAGAAGACGCTTGGGACTGCGACCCAATGGGTTCGACAGGTGGGACGAACCGGCAGGGGCTTCGGACGGCGGAGTGCTGCAGGTGTGACGGCAGTGTTCCGTTCGCGCGCACCACACAGTTCGGGGTGGTCGGGTGGTTGGTTGGTCGACCTGGTGAAGATGTGGACTCGGTGGTGCTGGTAGAGGGTGTTTTGTGTGTTTAGATCCAAAGGGTTCTTTGTCAAATCCAGAATGACCACCTAGAAAACCCAAGTATGCAAAAAAAAAGCAATCATGTTTTTTTCCGGCAAAAAAGGTCATCTCAGCCAAGAAACGTCATTGTTTTGTAAAATTGTAGTTGCTGCGATCAAGCCAGTGGAGGGTATGCAATATTCATTTTTTTCAGCTGCTTCCAATCCCAAATCCAGCCTCTTCTTACACCAAAACGTGGTTGTTCACCTAAACTTAGGCTGTTTGAGTCGGTTCCGGCGAAAGTGCAAGGATACACCGTACCTTTCGATGGCCCTTAGGATCACCAATAATAAAAACTTTGTTGGCTGCACAATGCCATTTAACTGACACGCAAAATTTGGACAGTTTGACAATAATTTCCCTCGTCTCAAAAGTGGTGTGAGAAAAATTTGGCGTTTGGGCCGAAGTCATACACAACCTGTAACGCAGTGCGAGCCCCTCTTAAGGAATCGAAACAACTACTACAGCGAGTTAGCTGTGTTTTGCTCCTGCAACTGCTGGAGAAGGGTGTCTTCCTCATCAGGGGGCTGCACAACATCATGTCGGGCAGGGCATGCCTTCAAAGCCCTCACCTCACACAGAGTGGCGCAGCTCGAAACCAAGGAGTTGATAGGAGCAGGCGTGGCCACATCAAAGGAAACCTGCATGTACCAATGTACCAGAGGCCCCTGAAACAGCAAAAAATTCTACATTCAAAACATCCAAACCGTGCCCGGCAATTTCCGCAATTTTTCCGGTGATTTCCGTCATTTGGACGGTAAATTCCGTAATTGTTTTTCGGCCACTTCTGCATGGAAGTTTAAATGTCCACCGAAAAAAAAACCGGAAATCTCAGCGATTGCAGATCGAGCTAGGTTCTGTTTTCCCTTGCCCCAAGCGCTTCTCTATTATTCAGCTTTGAATGATCACCGCAACTCATCCGAATCTTCCAGGCAAGATGGAATCAAGGCATTCCATGACAAGCTGTTGGGATAATTTGACACATCTAAAACACAGCATGCTCTCAGTAAAATTGGCTTCTGTCCGGTCGATTTCCAGGGCCTTCGCTTCGAAGTTCTTCGAGGGCAAAGGCAGAGCAGCTTTTCAACGTCTTGAAGTTTTGGCCACTCTAACCATGACTATGAATTAAATAGATAGAGCTCGACCACTTTGAAATGGTTTCGATGGCGATATGGATCTCCAAAGCAATCTTTGCAAAACGAGGAAGTTGCAATTTGTGCACAGGGGGCATCATGTATCATCTAATTGCCCTCTGGTGATTGCAACATCCTCTGTGTACAGAAAGTAAGTACTGGCGCCCTATTCATTTGCCCACAACTCCAGACTGGAGATCTCAGACAGAATGGTCCCATGATTTCTCAAACAAACAGCAGTAAGTTTGCAAAAGGTAACAAAAGGTAACCAAAATCCAAAAAGGTAATTGTTATACAAAAAATACATTTTCAACAAAAAACTGTTTTTTTTTTTTCTGAAACGACATTTTTTTTGCATACTTTAGGTTTACTAGGTGCAATGGTTTCTGATCGCCTGGATGTGGTTCAATCGCCCCTTGCCTGGGGCACCCTGGAAATTCCAGTAAAACCATGTAAAACCTGGTTGAAAAGAAGTCACACTCGCCTCATCATCGGAAGCTCAGAGACTCGTCTCTTTGCGTTTGACGCTACCCCGGTGAGGTCGTTGGTCTTAGCTTTCTGGAACCAGTTCTCAACCTGCAACTTCGGCCCGAAGTCTTGCCACTTGGGTCGGCCCGCTTCGTAGCCTGAGGAACGGGTGGCACCTTTGTTTATTGCTCAACCTGCAGCTTCAGACCGAAGCTTCACCTACCAGGAAGCCACTCCAGGTTCGGAGCCCCTTCGAGGTGGCAGCAGCCTGGCAGCTTTTGGGGTGATGTTTTTGATGGGTTTCAATGAAGTACAGGGCACCTGGGCACTCCCATACGCATGCGCAGGCTCGACGACCCTCTCAACATGTTTTTCAGTATAGACGTTCGACCTTAGCTCTTGTGAGAACACCCAAGTTTCGTCTTTTAGTGGATTTGGAACTGCAACTGTAGCTAGCCATCATTGACCCAGCTCAAGGATTTCTGGTTTTTTCGAGGTTCATCTCGTAATTCTTCATGGGCTGCTCAGTGTAGGGAGATGAGACTCAAACAAAGCGTTTCACAAATGCCCTTTAGTCTGAAGGCAGCTCTTCATCTTCAGGCTGAGTTCAGTCTCCTCTTGGCTGCCCTTTAGTCTTAAAGTCACGAGTTGTCAGACGCCTTCCATTCCAAAAAACATTTCTCGATGTGTTTTTTGGTTGTTTTTTTTGTTGGGCAGATTCCGGGCAGATCATGATCTGCTGATTTGTGAGAAAAGCTAAGGTAAAGGGCAAGTCTACATCCCCGAAAGCGGCGAAGTGGTTTGGGATTGCTGGGAACCTACAGGAGGTGCCTATGGTCGACGGCTGAAGCGTCGCGTGGTCCAGAAGGAGAGACAGCAAGAGCGTGCCTCCTTGAGACTTCTCAAGCGTACAGAGCAAGAAGCCTCCTAAGAAAAAGTGCTCTCCCCCACCCAGAATTCCGGGACTCCAGGGATCTCAAACTTATTAGATAGAAAATGAATGAAAATGATAGGACTATTTCGATCATTTTGGTTGTTGGGATCCTGCAGCAAACGTTGTGCACAGCTGCTGGGTGGGGGGCATCACCTTGGCTGACACCACGGGGAGAGCAGATTCTCGCGCTGCCAACATCACACCTCTTGCTTGCCCTCTACAGCGTCCAGTCTTCAGTAAACCACCCATGTAAACCCGAGAATCGCTTTAAACGTGATGTTGGAGCGCAAGCGGATGTTCTCTATTTGAGACTTGGGGGCGTCTTTGAATCATCAGCTTCTTTGCATTTCTTTGCACTGGGTTGCCCAGAAAATGTGTCCCTGTCAGTAAGACTATAGAGCAATGTGTTCGCTACAACTGGCATCGAAACCAATAAGTTTCCAGAGACTGATCCTCTTTGCAAGCCAGTGGTGAACTTGGAGTCCATGTTAGTTGCGGGTATTTTTCTCATGTATACCCGACCATTTTGGGTCTGCGAAGCAGATTCTTGATGTGATTCGTGTTGTTCAGATCCGGCGTGCAACAGATGGTACAGATGCCACAGATGAGAAAAAGGTAACATCCTCGGAACTTGTGGGGGAAGCAAATGGACCTCCCACTATAAGTGGAGCATGAAAATTTAATCAACAATTGGTCGATTGTTTGTTGTTTGCAAGTTGTTTTCTTTAGCGATGGAACTGCTGCAACTGAATTTTGCCAATAGACCTTTTGTGGACACATCCCAAAGCGTCTAACCAGTTACTGAGTACTGCGTGCGTGGCTAAATCATGCTAAATCTACCGTGGCTGCAGCACAGCAATCATCGCAGTTCACCAGGTCACTCTCTTCGATCGGTGCGATATCTTGCGAGGCAACTTGAGCAACGTCATAAACCTCTATGAACGAATTTAGGTAGGACTTAAGATGATGAATCTTTGCGAAAGGAAAACTGCAGTTGGGGAAAGCTTGGCGAAAGGTTTGGAGAAAGGCTCTTAATTTTTGATGAATGGATTTTGTTGCGAAAGGGTTGGTGAAAGAGATTTTCAGTACAAAGCATGTCATCCAAACAGAGATTCCTGATAACCAGGCGAAAGGTTGGAGAAAGGTTCGCGAAGATGTGTCGAAAGCAGTGGTTCCAGATTAGGAATGATGATTCCCCTTTGCTGATACTTTTCTTAGATGTAAGTAGCAGAAACTCGGCGAACGGTTTAGCGAAAGAGGTTTTTGGGTCAAGTGGGTCAGCGAAAGCAAAACATGCAGCCGTGAAAGCGTTGCGAAGGGATTGCCGAAAGTTTTTTTGTTTTTTAAAATAATCTTAACACACATTCCGGATGGTTTTTGACACCGCTCACTTGATTCTCTTGGATTATCCTGGATATTTTGGAGCGGTCCCAATGCTGGGCAGCCCTTGACTCATTGAATCTCCCAAATCGCGAAGATGATCAAAAAACGATCAATAAATAGTAGAAAAATGGGTGGACACTCCTATACGCCTTGCTGTGGATTTGAGTGGATCGGCCACATCAACTTCAGTGTTTGCCGCTGGGGGATGTCTCCAGGCCGGGTTCAATGCGCTCGGACGGGTCCTCAGAGGGCTGAGTTCGGAAGCCGACGTTTGGGTCCTCGTTGGGCTCCAGTCGTACCTTCGTTTCGAAGGTGGGACTGAGGTGGGCGCCGTCCAGTCAGACCGAACCTGAGGAGGTATATACTTGGAGGTTTGCGGGTCATGATATATGTGATATCCTGCATCAACCTAAAACGTAAAGACACATGCAGCGCATGCGCTAAGGATTCGTTTGAACAGATGAGAACCCAAAAAAGAGCTTCTCAATGCGGTGATTAGGACCTTTGCTAGGGCAACCTTTTTATTGCCAGGTGTTCCTACTAATTGTATCTAATTGTATCTAAATGTTGTAAGTTATTGCTGAACCTAGATGACAACCATTTGTTTTGTCGCTGGCTGTTGTCACCTTGTTTCACCCTTGTCTCGCCGCTTCAGATGGTGAGACTTGAATGCAGGGTTTCGGCTCCGGCTGCAGCTGATGATGATACCCTACACCTTCGGCTCCAGCTGGGGTGGGTTTGGGGGTTCTGATGAAAAATCAAGTGATATTGTTTTCCCTACTCTTCTAGGTGAGGGAAGCAACCTGATGCTTTGTTGCGGGTTTTGCCCCAGAAAAACCGCATGACTGATTGTTATCAGAATGCATCTCATCGTTTCGCATGGCAGGATACAACAATTTGTTGATGCTTTTGTGGCCTGGAACTCTGGAAGACAGGGAAGATCGACAGTCAAAGTCGGGGTGGAGTTTTTTCGTGTGTTTCATGGGGTGGGATCAATCTATCGAGGGGAGATCGGGTCCAAATCCTGCCGAACTTCCACATCCAGACACGACTAATGGGACTGCCCTATATGCCGAGAAACGGCCAGGGGTGGTTGACTGGGGGGTCTGTCTGGGGTGGCAGTCCGGACTGGCAGTCCCAGACAGCTCGTGTCTGGGACCTCCACCTTCCCCGAAAGCACCGAACAGACGGGAGGGGCGGCACGTAAGTCACCGACATCAGCTGGCCCCCCAAAGGACCCTGAGCCGAACAGAGTCGAGAAGTGGTGTTTCCTCTCTACATTCATGCCCTGAGCCGCCCAGGACATGCGAAGAGCCGCCTGGTTTGTGCGAACAAGGCCACCACCACCTTCGCGTGACGCTTGGCAGATGAAGGGGCCGAAAAAGGAGTCTGGAGACCACTGACAGGTCAGCCCCTTTGTTGGCGGCCTGTAAGATGAGTAAGTTCTCCTCCAGAAGCAGTTTGGGTTTCCAGTACCTGAGAAGGTATTATAGTTATATTTGGAGCTCTAGAAAGAATATCTTTGGACCGGGTGCAGACCTCGAGCTTCACCCAAGGGGGTCATCGCAAAGGATTCTTGCCGGCCGCAGTCTGCGGTTCAAGACCTCGACCCTCGTGAATCGCACGTCTTTGAAGTTTCGGAGTGATTGAGCGAACGCGCTGCACTGCGAGCTCTGCACACGGCTTGCTCAACGCGAATGCGAAACTACGGGGCTCCGCGCAGGAAACGGTCTCGTCTAGTGCGTTTTGGATTGACCCGTCACATCAGATCGTGATTCGATGGAGTGGTCGACCACAGCGGGTCTTCGTCCTACATCCGGTACCGTCCGACGTTACACGGAACACCGCACCTGCAGTTGGTACAGTACCTCGGACAATATGGTACTATACCTGTACATATTCAGCTTATTTCGTGTCATGTCTCGCTTTCGTTTGAGTACGGTATGTCCTCGTGAAATTCGACCCGACCAATGACAGATGGTTTTGAGGAGATTTTGACACACCCGAAGCTCTCGGGTTGCGACCGAAGTCCCGCCCTTCGACCGAAGCTTTCAGGTTTTCAGTTGGCTGATAGAGCGGAGCAGCTGGATCTGATGGTGAAACTCACTTGCTGGGGTGGCCCGGTTTTTTGCGTGAGAGAGCAGGTGAATAGCGCAGGGGGAGCAGGTCATCCCCGCTGATCTCTCAGTCGAGAAGCCCTGTTGAACATGTTGAATCCTTAGCTGAACTATTTTCGTTCTATCTCTTCGAAGAATGACAAGCAATTTAGAATAAGCAAATATTTGCTTCATCACACCAAGCGTGTTTGGTCGTAATCGCATCATCGTTGCAACAGCTGCATTCGTTGAGTTGAATGAACACGACTGTGGTTGCTTGCATCATGCAAACAGGCACTGGAGGGCTTGCTGTCCTGGCATTGGTGGGTGAATGAAATCCGGCCCATGAATTCAAGCCCCGCCCTTTGTTTGGGCCACCATAATGTTTAGCCCACACCCACCCCACACCCATTTTATATTCACCTTGGTGTTGGTCTTGGGCGGTTTTGATTGAAACAGCAAATGGAGGAGCAATGATTTCCTCCTGCGCAAACCGTGTCTTTTTGGTGTGAGAGGGAACACCATTCCACCACTCAGTTCACTCAGTGGTGTCCTTACCTTTAGTTTGGGTTTGACTCAACATGTTTTGCATGACCTCCAAACTAATCCATGTTTGATTTCAGACTCCCCGACACGGAGGGAAACCATGTCTTGGGTTTTTTTGATGCCGTTTCATGAACCCCTTCTCAAGTCCCATTTCCCTACCCTCTCGTTGACCTGCGATCGTCGGCGCGTCGTTGCGAGGTGATGCTGATCGCCAGTGTTTACAGTTGCTCTTCGCTCAGGAGAGCCTTGGATTGAACAGGTTTTGATCGCTTCTTGATGCTGATTGGATCGTTTTTTTTCTGTCTTCTTTATATCTATAGTGTTATTCCATTTGGGTTTTAGGGCTCCTGTCCCACCTTCTCAGTTAGGGTAGTAACAGTTGCTGAGCGACCCCCCAAGTTTGAACGCCCCACCAGAGTCCACTCGGCCGTGCCGACCGTTGGAGCGGAGGTTTGGGGTGAAAGACCGTGATCGGTTCTGCTGGTGATTGCACCGGTGCGCCGGGTTCAAGTTCTTCCATTGAGTGAACGACGCCTCCACCTGAAACTGGAACCTATGGTCGGAAAACAGAGGTGACATGGGTGAGTGGCTGATGCAGTGACATGCAGTGAGGTTTATTGGGAATCTCGAATGGAAAAGAACCTCCGGCACATGGGGACAGCCACGGGATGCCACGGGTAGTTTTCAGTTTCACTGCAGGCCCGTCAGTATACATCAGTTACAAATTATGGTGATTATGCACTTATAAAAGCTCTAAGGATCCAAGTACCCTCTGAGAAGGTGTTTGGGGTGGGTGCCAGGAGGGTCCAAGTACCTTTTGAGGAGGTACGACTGGATCCCTAGGGAAGGTATACCGCCGGACTGAAACCTAGCATCCCATCGTCACGAAAGTTCCGGGGCCCCGTTGCTCAAACTGACCATCCGTTGGATCACCCGTTCCGCACTTCCTCCGTGCGTTGTTGAAACGCGTGGAGGAAGGTGAACGGCCGATCAAATGCAGAAGACCAGACGAATGGGACGGACGAAGAGATGCCGATCAATTGACCTCCCAAACAGACATCTCCGTCCCGCCACGTCTTCACGTCTTTGTCGAGTAGATCGAATGCGAAGGACCGAACTCGTTTTTTTTTTTGATGCGCGCAGTCGTTGCACGGTCGTGCATGTTGAGCTCCAGAGCGTGGAAGAATATGACCGTGCTGTACCAAGCCATCTCGAGGACAGGATTGTATGTGGAATGCCTGAATAGTTCCTATATGCTTTGCCTCTGGAATTTCTGAAGAAACGGTGAAGAAGGAGAAGGAACAGGAAGGGGAAGGACAAAGGAATGGAAGGGAAGGTTACGGTAACGGACATGTTAACTGGAAAAGGGAAGGAAGACAAGAATGGGTACGAGGAAAGGCCTCGGACCACGGAAAGGGTAGGGAAGGGGAAAGAAGAAGTGCCATGAGACGGAGACGGAGAAGCAAAGGGGAAAGGAAAACGACAAGGAAAGAAACATGTGAAGAAAGGACGCCCAAAATACATGAGAAAGGATGTGGAAGGAGAAGGGGCGCAAGAAAAAGGGGAAGGGTGAGAGACGCGAAGACAGAACGGAAGGCAAAAGGGAAACGGGAAAGCACAAGAAAAAAGAAGGGAAGGGAATTTGAAAATGGTTAAGGACACAAGAGAACAAGGCAATCACAGCGAGAGTCGAAGTTTGAGAGCGTGTGTGGCCACAGCCAACCGAACAAATTGAACACCCCAAAACAGATCGAAGCCATAAGTTACACACAATGTTTCTGGATTTACACTACATCCACTTGGAATTAGGACGTAGAAGCTTGTTTGGAAATAAGTTGTGGGGAAGGAATGAATGAAGAAACAAGGAACAGTGAAAGAAGGAAGGAAGCAAGGAAGGAAGTAAGGAAGGATGGAAGGAAGGAAGATAAGGAAGGAAGGAAGGAAGGAAGGAAAGGGAATGAAACGGGAACTAAAGAAATCAGGGAATGGAAAGGAAACGGAAAAGGGAAGGAAGAAGGGAATTGAGAAGGAAAGGGGGAAGCACGGGAATTGGATGGACAAGGGAAAGGCCAAAGAAGAGAAAAGGAAAGACAAAGAAATGGCAGAGATGAGAAAAGAGAAGGCAAAGGAGAAATGAAGGGAGAAGGAAAGAGCAATGGAAAACAGCACTGAAAGAATCAAAGAACCATGATAAGAAAAGGAACGATAGGGCGGCGATGAAGCATACTCCACAGCAAATTCCACCTTTGCGACATGTTGTGTTTTAGGATGCCCGTGAACTGACAATTCTATTTTCCAAACACAAATTCTAAGTTTCAGTCCCTCGGTACTTTCTGGTTAATCAATACCACTACCACTACCACTACCACTACTACTACTACTACTACTACTACTACTACTACTACTACTATTCCTGCTCCTGCTTTGGGGGGTGGCTTTGCCACAAAACTCTACCCCGCAAAAGGCGAAAGTTTGGCGAAAGTTCAGCTCAAGATTGGCGAAAGTTCACCCTGCCACATCTGACCCCCAGCCCATTATGAGTAAGTTTGAGTGACCGGCTACTACAGTGATTCTTGCAATTTTGATTCTTGCTGACACCCAGGAGAAACAAAAGAGACGTACTGGGTGTCAACAGTTAAGTAGAAGACACATGCTGACAAACAGTGAAGTTTCTATTTTGTGTTTGCCAGTAAAGAAGAAGCCATTGACGTGAACAAAACACAACATACATGGCACACATAAATGCAACGTACTTCGGCGAAAGATAAAACGCAGGAAGGCGAAAGTTTGGCGAAAGTAAATTTTTTTTGGCGAAAATGACGGATCCCGGATAAAGGAATTTAGATCAACTCCCATATATATTAATATATATATATATAGCTCACCACTTATGCTAACTTTTGATGTGGCTGATACTGTAATACTGGTGATTGAAAGGTGGATGATGGAGACTTTCTTGAACATTGTGTTGTTTTTGTCTATGGACTGCAGTGCTGCCTACCCTTTTGCAGGGTGTTTTTCTTTCCTGCGATGACAATGTGGGCGCAGATCAAGCCATTCACAGCTCACTTGCTCTGACACTGCTTGAATGCGTTGAACAAAATCCAACAATGTTAACTTTGGTCTCCCAACAAAGATTCTCTAGAAACACAAGCACTGATGCTGAAGTTCTTGTCAGCTTTGTCATACATAGACATAGACATGTGATCTGACAATTTACAATTAAAGCAACTGCCTACATCATCAGCAATGCATATGGCGCAACCTTATCCACATTTCCAGGTGCTAGACAACTGAACCAAAGCTGTGCAACATGTTCAAACACCTGATATCACCTGACAGCAAACCCTGCAAACTGCCCCTCTTGTTTAATCTATTATTGCAATAGAAACGTAATATGTCGAAAAAATGTTTGGCATGTTGAAAAACTTTGTCCCCTTGTCTCAGGAAGAAGAAGCTGGGCTATATTCCGACAGAATCTTGGCTGTTAGTAAGGGTTGAGAATGGGCGACAGTTGGTTGCATGTGCAAAGCCAAGTCCAGTGATCGAAAGTCAAAAGGTTACTGTAACTACTCTTCGAGTCATTAACATGCAAGTGGATGGCACCACCTGTTTTGGCTGGTATTCTGAAAATGGTCTTCCAGTGCACTATGTTCCACTTCCATATTTCATGGAGTGTAGTATTTGTTCATTTGCTTGGGTGCACAGGGGTGCATGATGACGACGCCTGAGACCACCAAAAGTTTGTCGACAGTTCTTTTGTCGACATATCTCGTGACCCAAACCGGTTGGACAAACTTCTAGCTCTATGGCAATTGGAGAGTCCTGGAAATTCAATGTTGGGCGTGTTCATGCACCTTACATTTGAACATGCTACATGCTACACAGCTCGATCTAGGGCAGGGTAGATGACAGCCATTTGATTGGCAGTTCGATTAGTACTCTGTTGGGGCATATGGGCTTTGCCAAGATCATGCTGAATGGTGTGCTTTGAATAGAACCCAAGTTCACACTTTTCTAGCAACGCCATGGCTGATATAAAAGAAAACTGAGAAGTCGGGTGCCATCAATAAGAGCTTTTCCAGCAGCACCTTCTCAACCTACTCAAACGACGCGTGGGGGATCATTCCAAGAGTGGTTCAGTGACCTGAACATAGACCCTACTGGGGTACTTATGGGATAGTCGAACTAGGATCCTTCAACCTCTCTTGCTTTGACACTGGCTTTACCTCTTTGATCCTGTCCACTCGCCATCTTCGGCTACACCTTACGGCTGTTTGACCGTGGTGGGGCGCCAAAGCTTTGCAACAAGAAACATGTCAGCCTCATTGTTATGGTTGAGAACGACAAGGCAAAAACATGTTTGCATCCCCATCTTCATCCGCGATCCTAATTTTTGCGTCAATGCTGGTTTTCAAGATCCCAGACGCATGAGGCAAACTGCAGAGATTGTTACAAGCTGGCAGCACTTTCAAAGCTCTCATCCTGGTCCACCAAAAACCGAAGCTCTTTGGGCGGATGAGCTCGGATTCGCGAGCTTGGCTTGTAGTAACTGCGGTGCAAGAAGAGGGGCGGTGCCAGACCGGCCACCCGTGGCCAAGGAGGTCCGTGCCGGTGCTTGGGTGCTCCGCGGCATGTGGGTCAGCGAGGTGCCGGAGCCGTAGATGTGAAACGGGTGGGTCGCCCCTGGAAAGGTGCGGCGAGAGAGACGGGTCAAATAGATCAGCTGCTGATGAAATGGATGTTGGACAGGTACCTGGCACTGGCACCTGACCCCCTGATCTTCCAGAGTTGGGTGGAGCCAAGGTATCGTGGAAGTGGCCGGACAGCCGGTGGTGATCTGCACTTTCGGGGTGTCCAGATTGGGTGCACCTAGATGAGAACATGAGATGGTTGATGGAAGAAGCGCCCCTGAGACGAACAACGGAGTTTAAAGTTTAAAGGTTTTGATCGTTCGATCATGTACTGTAGATGGTTCAAGCGTGTATTGTGTTGCCGAGGTACCTTCTTTGAAGTGATTGCTTGTGAAGAGCAACCGTCCACGCCCAGGATGTCCCAGGAAACAACTTTTGGCACTCATCAGCCCTGCACCATATACGCATAGATACCCGCTCTTTTTGTTGCATTTGAAGATACATCCCCTACAGGTCAATAACCTCAGAGTTGGTCATGAACAAAGCACTACTCAACAGTGATCTAGCCCTAAGGATCCAAGTACCCTCTGAGAAGGTGGGACTGGGGTGGGTGCCAGGAGGCTCCAGTCGTACCTTTTGAGGAGGTACGACTGGATCCCTAGGGCCCTAGGGTAGGGTACTTGAAGTCGGGTCCAGGTATGAAAGTCATGTGCTGGTTCGTCCAGGACTTGAGAGGCCGCGGCTGGGCGTCGATCTTCTTGGCGCTTTGGTGCCTCGGTGAAGCGACCAGCCGTGGTCGGCCTTGGATGAGACGCGACATAGTAGATGTGGATGGCCTTATTGGTTGGTTGATTCCCTAGGGCTCCTGGCCCACCTCCGTTGAGAAGATGGGGCTGGGGTGGGTGGATTTGGGGGGTCGAACACCACCTGAGGATACGGTTGGAGCCCTAGGGAATAGAGGGGATACCCCAAGTGTACAACCATTATGGTACCAAACCGACGCCTCTTATTCTTCCCCAAAAAGGAATCATTGCTTTGTGACTCAAAAGCTGATCGCCCATGCCCTATGGAACATTTTTAATTTGTGCCAGGACCCACAAAGAATGGTTTAACAGACACCCCCGATCAACATCCGTTCCCTCTTTTTGGGGCTATCAAAAGACACCCCTAGGCGCCCTAGTATAGAGTTTTCTTGGTTTTAAGAATTCTTGAGTCTGCCCTCCCGACATACCATGACCCAACCAATGAAATGGGTCGCGAGTCATGTATCGATCATGTATTTCCGGTCAAACAAATCGCCGGTGGGTCGGGGTCAAGACCTCTCCCAAACACGACCTGTTTGGGACCCCAATCACCCTGCCGCCCCAGACTGGAGCCCCGAAATAAGGACCCCTGTTGCCTGATCGGTAGTCATATGCCAGACCGAGAGTGAACTGAGCATAAATGTAGCGAAATTGATGTGTATAGTGCCACCTCAGATGCCACCCTATCAAAGTACAAACCCAAATGTCCAATCCCGAAGTTCTTCAGATACCAGTGGCCACAGTGGCTCCCAGGTGTAACTGTTTTTTAACTTTCAAACCCCAGCTGTATTTGCAGCAGGCTTGGTTGTTGCCCGCGGAATGCTTGCCAACTTTGAATTTAACTGATTTCAGCATATTTCACCAATTGAACCCGACTTAGCTCTACAAGGCAGCATGAAGCACACGGTTTAGAATGTTTAGACAAATAGGATCAACCTTGTAACTTGTAACTGTACGTATCCATGTCGCATCATGCAACTACCATCATGGATGTGTTCCTTTTTTAGTGTATCATATATCCTCACCATATTCATGCTTTGGGTCACACCCCAGAACGCACGTCACCAGCATCATGGTCCGCGGGTCCGCGACGACAGGGTGGTCTTTCAGTCACCCTCCGAGGCTGCGGCTCTGTGTGATGCTGGAGGTCACTCCCTTGACTGAAAGGAGCTGTGGCACAGCGCTTGTGTTTCTGTTCGCTGTGGATGTTGGTCCTTCGTGCCTCTCTTGGATTGCATGGGGATCAATCCAAGACAAGGAAAGCTCATGGAAATAGCAACCATTGTCGACCTCTATACACTCTCTACTCTCGGTTCAATGATGTCTTTGACTTCAGACGGGGTGATTCGAGGTCGTTGGTCATTCAACTTTTTCTTTTCGACCACAGTCCTCCAAGACAAGGGGTGAGCAGGTCCTCCTAAACCAAAATGTATATATTATGTATAATATATATATTCTATTGGAAAAGAAGCACCTGCACTCCATGCTCATATCCTCAGGATCTCCTGGGATCTCTTCTTGGTAGTTCACCTGACGCGTTTGTCAATACATGTTGATTATTTTCCCAGATAGATATAGCTCGGTATGGCGAGTTTGTTCATGTTTGGGGGCAGTCCCACCGGCACACTGGCCAGCCATTACTACGAAACATGGAGATGTATTGGACTCTGACACATCACTTCTCTATCTCTACAGAAATATGAGATCTATGGTGCTCTGACATGTCACGCCCATCACCATGGAGATTTGAGATGTATGGGGCGCTTTTCCACATCACATATCATCTCAACCCATCTCTCAAGACAAAATTGAGATGTGAGATTCGATGCTGATGTTTCTTACTTTGGGGCCACAAAGAACACACAGCTTTCACTCCAAAGCCAAGTGTTTTGAATAGTTATACAGTTTTGCGTTTAGCCAGTATTCACCGTATATAAATCTATTAATACATGTTTAATACTTTTATCCATTTCACTCAACAGCCAAAGGAAGGAAGTTTCAGTTCCGCAGGCCCTTTTGGCTCAGTGCAGCTCCATCTCCGGTGGGTGCCACACCCACACCCGATGCGCTGTGCGGGGGTCTCGGCAGAGACTCCCCTGGAGCTTCACGCCAAGTCGCTGCACGAGTCATGGAGGGCTTCGGCCTCCGTCTCCCCCTTTCAGGAGGCCTCCTTTCCGACGCTGGGCACCTACAACAGGAACATGTGGTGGGTGAACAGGTTGGTGGGTGAAGAAAGGAGATGGAATGCATCATCGGTTTGGATTCGCTGAACTCGTGTCCTTTTGATGTCTAATTTGGCACTCCATGCCTGTATTGTCACAAATCATCTTCGTACAGGAGTCATAGGAGTGCATGTTTGCAGCAAGCCTTGTCATCTCAAGACACATTGTCCACTTGTGTTCCAGCTGCAACTTGGATGAGTTGTTTGGTTCCCTCCAAGAACACTACCAGTTGGACGTGTGGACTGTGAGAAGTGGGAACTCCTGAGAATTCTCGCAGTGATGCCGAGCCGTGAGCCGTTCCAAACTCAGCCTCCCGAAGCGAGGAGACGGCCTTTAGGCCAAGGGCCTTTGGATGATCCGACTGTCCAGGCCTAATTGGTGAGGTCTAGAGATCATTCTGATTTTGCTTAAGGTAATTTTAGTGCTGTGAAGGCACCATCCGGAACCATTCCCTTCGGATTCATGGGAACATGGCGAGTGGGAGGTGGTGATTTCCTTATCTTCCGTGTGGGTAAATAGTGTGTTGGGACATCTTTTATACTTGTTCCAGATACCTTTAAGCAAATCGGTCATGGCACCAGGGATACTTGCACATGACCACCGGTCGACACTTGCATGAGGACTCATGCGCCACAAACATAACGGCCAAAATGAACCGAATAGATCACGCTATCGGTCTAAGCTATCGGCTACCGTTTTGAGCTCTGGGAATATGGATCCACTGCCATAGTCCCTTCTTTAGGTCAAGACCCCCCCCCAAAATGGCATAGCTTCTTGGGTTTGGAAGAACGGATGTTATGTGGACAATGCCACAAGTGGGCGCTCGAAGGACGCCACGCCTTTGACAAGAGATACAACTGATCCAGCAGACAGGACTTGTGGATTGGTGGATATATTATAATGGATAATTGTATTGGATGTATATGTATAAATTATATGTGTTAGATATAATATGTTTGACTTTTTGATGGAGCAAACCCAACAACCAGTGGGGTCTATTCTCCTTCTCCAAGGGATGTTATGTTTTCAATATGTTGAATCAAGTTGAATCGTCTTATAAATCTCAATCCTGAGGGCCAATCGAAACAGACATCCCCGAATTGAATGTGGCTCGATGCGCTGCCAATCCGAGGATGTATACACTTCCAGCCGCCTGGTCTTGGTGTGCGTGTGGTTGGAAAGGAATATCACAAGCCGTGCATATATCATATCACCAAGTTGGTAGAGAGTGTGACACCTTAATTTTCATCCGAGGGTCAAGGGTCGACTCCTATCCAGATTAGGATGGATACTCAAGAAAAAGTGTAGGATCGTGAGGGTGCAGGGTCGTCAAGAGGGGCTCAAGCGTCTTTGTGAGAAACAAAGCAGGCGCACTGGGGCAAACAAATTTCAAGTTTGCTCCTCTGCCGGTAGCTGGCCAAAGGGGCAGCCAATCAAAGAAGTTCTTCAAAGCAATGATGAAACACAATATCCTCCTGCACCTTCCCATGAACCAGTCAGTTTTGACCGGTGGCCTTTGCATGCTGGCTGCTAGCGAATCCCTTCTTTGAATAAAGGCCCACCCCCCTGGCTGTCAGCAGTTTTTCTCTTGCAGCACGTAGTTCAGGATACTTTGCTTTGAGTGCTGAACAGGGATTGCCCTGAGAACCCTGTGGCTCAATTGAACTTCTACAGGGCTCAGTTACTATGTCCGAAAAAGGTGCCTCGATGCATAGGTTTCTTCGCAAAACTGCCTTGATGCAAAAGGAGATCGAGAAGAGAGGCCCAACCATGATAGCAAGTGTGGAACAATCGGTTTCACGTATGCCAGGCCTAGAACACTTGAACGGCGACGGCAACACGCTCAATCCAACCTACAAGGAAGTTATGACCTTCAGCCCCTCGAACCAACCAGCAAAGGAACATGGGAGCCAACCGGCCCAAAATAGCGTGGGGAGTGCATGGCAGGCCTGCATGAAGGCCTCCATGGGAGCATGTCTAGAGGGTGGCTGTGTAAAGAAGGGCGTGTTGATCCATGAGATGTCCAGGCACCGAGCCAGTCCGCTCCTGAACGTGCCCAAGCGCAGCTCAGCACTCCACACTTGGTGTTTCGGAAGGATCCTTTTCGTGCAAGCAAACAGTGGTAGTTTGAGCTGGATGGCCGCTGTTTTGCAAGGCTTTGGGAAGCACAATTGTGGCCTTGGCTGCTCAAAAAATAGTGCAATTTCCATGTGAACATGGCTGGTCGGTGTAAAAGAAGAAGGACTGGACGGTCCACAGCATTGGCAGATGACAGCCATAGCCCTTTGCTGCTGCTGATACAACATTTTGCCATTGGTCGCTTTTTCCTGCTGTGGAAGCGTCTGGAGCTGACAGCGCCATCGTGCCCTCGTGCAGCCAGCCTTTTTCCTGTGGACATCACCCTGCTGTGGACCTTCGGTCTTGGTGGGGGGAGATGGGTCCAGGAAGCAGAACATGCTAGCCGAAACCTGATGAGAAAGTCTCCACCAAACCGGAAGACCGGGAGCCACATACCCGACCAGCCGACGTCGGTGAGGCTCCACGGACCTAAAAAGCACCTGGGAGCACACCTGGGGTTTCCGAATGACAGTGTCTGTGCTACTGGAGTCCCGGCGTTGGAAGACTGGAATATCCTTTTTCCCCACCTGTCAGGTGAGGGTTGTTAGATTTTACGCCAGCCTCCTCCGCCTCCTCCGCCGGACCTCAATCAACCGCGACCATCCACGCCCAGTGTGCCGGACCTCAACCACAGCACACAACCACAATCACAAACACAATCATACCACCACAAACACACAACCACAAACGCAACACAAACACGCAAACACAAACACAATCACAGACACACGTACACTACAAACACAACCAAACACGCAACCACCAACACGATGACAAACACGCAACCAAATCACAAACGCAACCACAAACACACAACCACAAACACAATCACAAACACAACCACGAACACACAACCACAAACACCCAACCACAAACACCATCACAAACACACAACCACAAGCACACAACCACAAACACACAACCACAAACACACAACCACAAACACACAACCACAAACACAACCACAACACACAACCACAAACACAATCACAAACACAGAACCACAAGCACAACCACAAACACACAACCACAAACACACAACCACAAACGTGCAACCACAAACACGACCACAAAGACAACCACAACCACAACCACAAACACAAACACAACCACAAACACACAACCACAAACACACAACCACAAACAAACAACCACAAACACAACCACAAACACACAACCACAAACACACAATCACAACCACTACCGGTACCACAAACACAATCACAAGCACACAGCCACAAACACAACCGCAAACACATCCACAAACACACAATCACAAACACACAGCCACAAACACACAATCACAAACACACAACCACAACCACAACACGGCAGACAACCACAACACACAACCGCAGCACGCAACCCGACCACCCACAAACAAAATCGAGAACTACAATACTCACGACCATGGCAACATGCTCCTCACTATGGCATCAAGACAAATGATTGAATGTCACGGTGGGGATCACTCGAAGTAAAATAGTTTCTTAAAAAAGGAATGGTCTGGCTGGCAAACGAACGGCGCACTCGAAGACACATGCGAACAAGCTTTGCTGCAATGGCCAAATCTCAACGTTGCTTCAAGGGAAGCGATTGCATGCCGATGAATTCACTCCGGAAATGATCCAAACAGTCTGACTCTGGCACGCCATGCCGTAATTCCCGCAAGTGGCAAAGCTTGAAGAAGTGGCCGTCCCCGAAGAACTTGACTGAATCCCAGACGCATGCGGAGCCGCCCCAACAGCCCACGAGCGCAAGAACACGGACCGGGGGTTCCCGGCGAGCACCGAGATCGTTCCAAGAAGGAGGACGGTCTTTTGGTCG